CCCTAATAATCACAAAGTGGTAACCAAACTCAAATGGTTTACTGCCCAAGGAAGGTGCTTGTGGTTGGAACTCGCGTCTTCCCAGTGGTTTCACAGAGTGTTGTCAATTTGTTGCAAGTATGGGCTAACCATCATCATATTATGTTGATTGCTCGCGTCTTCTTCAACAAGCTTCATTACAAATTTGCTTGGTGCATGCCGCCGAGCTGAGAGACTGCTTTGCGGCTGTCGAGCTGGGTTACTTGGCTGTTGCCGAGCTGGGCTGCCTTGCTTCTGTTGAGCCGGAGTACTGTTGAGGTTTGCCGCTGCCGAGCTGGACTGTTTTGGTGCAGTGAGCTGGGCCACTTTGTTGCTACCGTGCTTGGCTGTTGTTCTGTTGCCGAGCTGAACTGCTTTGTTGCTGCTATGCTTGGTCGCTTTGCTGCTACCGAGCTGGGCTGCTCTACTGCTGCCGAGCTAGAGCATTGCTTTGAACTTTACCGCTGCCGAGCTGGGTTGCTCTACTGCTGCCGAGTTGAATTGCCTCGCTTCTGCCGAGCTGGAGCATTATTTTGAGCTTTGCTGCTGAGCTGGGTTGTTGTGCTGTTGCCGAGCTGGGATGCTCTGCTGCTGCCATCAAGCTCGAACTCAGCTTCTCATTGAGCGCAATAACACGCCTTTTGGCTGAGAGGTGAGGCTGCAGTTCTTCATGAGCAAAGGACAATGGTATTTGAGCATCTCGGACTATGACAAGGTTGGAAGGCTTAAGGCGTTGGCAGATGGCGCGAGTGGCGGCGAACCTCCGGCCTCCTCCATTGATTGAACTCTGTTGATCACGTCTCGTCTAAGCTGTGCTTGTTTCACTCCGACTCTGCTATCCTACGCGGTGAACCTCCGGCCTCCTCCATTGATTGAACTGTGTTGACCACGACACCTCTGATGTAATTTACTTCACTCCGTCATTGCCACTAAGAGAAGAATCGTCACTAATCTCTGGCATTTTTGCTTGGAATTGGTTCTGAATCTTCAGCATGGAAGAATTCAAGAGGGTCATTCGGCAGTCTGGACCACCTGAGTGTTTTGCTCTTCAGGCAGTTCAAGAAGTTATAAAACCTCAGAAACAAATAAAATTAGCATGGGATGAGATCAATTGCTAGAGAATATGCTTCGGACATGACTCTAGGAATTGGCATCATCAGCAGTTCAGTCAGTAGAGGAAGTCATGCAGTATGGAAAGTCAATTGATGATGGAGAAAATATGCAGGGTGTCATCCCATGCCTTCTGGACATTACTCCAGGAATTACCAACTGAATAGATGGGAAGTACATCCATGATTGAAGAATAGAGGGGCACATAATTGCCATAGCTCGAAACAGGAGGAGCCTGGAAGAAAAGGGATATATATATATATTTTTTGGGAACTTTCATGGTCCGTGCTCACCACTTCTTCCCTTTCTTTTCTCTCTTTTTTCTTTTTTTTTTCTTTTTACTTATTATATATATATACATATTTTTACTACTTTGACTTGCCTTGAACATGTGCTTTACTGACACCTTTTTTCCTTCTTTGAATATTCATGGCTGAAATTATA